AGAGAGAGAGAGAGAGAGAGAGAGAGAGAGAGAGAGAGAGAGAATGGTAAGAGAGAAAGCAAGACATGAAAATAAGAGAGAGAAAGAGAGCAGGGAAGAGTAATACAGAGGGGAAGAAAGCAGGAAAGGAGCCAGAAAATAGGGGGAGAAAGAGAGAGAAAAACATGAGAAAGAGAGGAATAGGAAGAGAGAAGAGAGTGATAAAGAGAGAGAGAGACAAGAGAGGAATAGAGAGATATTGAGAATGGTGAGAGATAAAGCAGGACATGGAAAAAGAGAAAGAGAGCAGGGAAGAGTAAAACAGGAGGGAAGAAAGCAGCAAAAGAGTATGAAAGTAAGGAGAGAGCAATAAAGAGGTAGAGAAAAAGAGATAAGAGAGGAAGAGAGATAGTGAAAGAAGAGATATGTGATACAGAGAGAGAGAGGGAGAGAAAGAGGACGAGAATGATGAAAGAGAAAGCAGGACAGAGAGAGGGAGAGAGAGAGAGAGAGAGAGAGCAAGAGAAAGCAGGGAATAGTCATTAAGGCGGGAAGAAAGCAGGAAATGAGTACAAAAATATGGAAAGAGAGAGAAAGAAATAGAGAGAGACCAGAGAGAGAATGAGAAAGAAAGAAATAAAAAGAAAGAAAGAACGAATAGAAGCAAGGGAAAGAGAGAAAGAAAGAGGAAAATAGAAGCAAGGGAAAGAGAGATGAGAAAGGAATAGAGAGAGGGAAAGCGAGAGACCAGAGAGGAATAGGGAGTAATAAAGAGAGAAAGAGGAATAAAGAGAGGGTGAGAGTGAGAGACAAGAGAGGGACTTAGAGAAAAAACATAAGTAAAAAATATGTGGAAAGACTACAGCTTTAAGGGAAACTATAATGATTTTGGATTCATTGTTTCCTTTTAAAGTTTATGCTTGTTGTTTAATGTTTTATATGTTTCTTACTATCCATTTTAAATATAAACATTTAATACTATGACACTGCTGTCACAGAGCACTCATGGGGTCTAAACAGAGAGCAGAGACTGTCTGAAAAGAGCAGACACAGAGAAGAGAGAAAGTGGATGGGTCATTTCTCTATCTTGTTCAATGTGTGCAAATTGAAGCTTAAGCTACTGTGCTCTGTACACAGGATTTTTCAACAGAGCAGCTAAGAATAGGTGCACATACGAAAAAGAGTCTGCTGAATGTCCTAATGTGATAGTAAACGCAGGTTATGACAAGTAGTGGCAGCATGGACCTAAATAGACCTATGATACTTTTTTTCTGCCCTTTTCTGCCAATACAGAAAGTCCCACTTTGGCTCTAGCTCCCCATCCCTTCCTAGCAGTTTGATGCTTTGGGTCACAGCAAAGTATTTGAATCTGCTATTGATAGATAATGAAAGTA